ACATAAACGAAAAATAAATCCTAAATATTCTAATCAAGGTGATTGGAATAAATTATCAACTAAGAAATAAAATGCAAACAATGCAAAATTGAATTAAAAAGCTAAGACAAAGATCAAAAGATGATAAGAAGCTAAGGAGTCGGGGATGATGATTTTCTAACCAATGCAAATATCAAGCTAAGATCATCCGGTTAAATGATTCGAACAACATAACGTCTAGAGATAGTCCTTAATAACTCTTCGTAACAAGAAGATAACATAGACGGTACATCAAATGAAAATCACACAACGCACAGACAATACGTTTTCGAACAAGTCTATTTAATGCGAGCCTAGATGGATCAACTCCTCCTCTTTCAGTTCTAAGAGTTGATTAAATTATTCTAGACGATTGTTAATCTACTAGTCGTAAGATTTGAAAACATCACACAAGAACGAATCATATTCAATTGAAAATCGGTTGTAAATCGAAGTGTCAGTCTTTGACAATATTCAACATTCAATGTATGAGAATTATAAACTCTAGTTAAGAACAACTCACATAAATTGAACTATCAACAAGCATGATAATCACAGTCAAAATCTAAACATCACCATCATCCCTATCCCCAGCGAAACGACTTAGCTACTCATAACGAATTCAACATCAACAATCTCAACAATCAAAGCCATCGTATTCATGGATTAGATGAAAAAAGAAACTCACGATTAATAGAAATCTGATATTCGAATCCAATGACAAAGCTAAATCCGGAAAAGTAAAGAGAGAATTGAGCAAAAAGAACGATCAAAATCCATGTTTTAGAGTAGGAGGAAGTGGAAAAAAGAGTTTTGGAGATTATTTCCACAAGTATGAGGATCATTTCAATATATAGTGCTCGAAAAACGGAGCTAAAACGAGAAAAAAACGAGCAAAAATAAAAACATAGGTCAACGAGTTGCGACTCGCGAGTCGCGAGTCTGACAGGTCGTGGGGTTGCGCGGAGGCTCTGTTAAAGTCGCAAGTCGCGACTTTACTCCCGAGTCACGACTTTGGCTGCGAGCCGCGACTTTGGCTGCACTGCATGACTTTTACGTTTCGAGCTCGTTCTGAACTCAGAATCGAGTTCCGTTTTTTTCTACTCGTCGCGAACGAACCCATCTATCCAATTATGCTCTCGAAACCAAGTTTTCCTAAAGATAAAATTCACCCGAAGCTCCCGACCTACACACCAAAAACGACAAAGCACAAAAAAAAAAAATTCGGAATAACAAACGAAAAATACCTAAAGACTCAAAATGAAGATAAACACATAATAAAACACGAAACTGACTAAAAACGAAAGAAAATGACCTAAAACGGGGGAAAAAGAAAAGCAAAACGAGCACGAAAAATATAACAAAAATGGGACAAACAACCGTCCAAACCGGTCATTTCTTCCAGACTGCAAGAATATGTCTCGTCTTCTAAAGATGAACACTTGTATAGCTGATGTAGAGCGTAGTACGAACGGGAATAAGATGAGATACTCTCTCAAGAAGAACACACACAGAAATTTCAATTCATAATAATCTGCTCTTATTCATCGTAGTCCTCCAATAAATAATAAGAGAAAGAGTCCTACTCTAGTATCTTGCCTAACATATTGCAAGATATTTATTTCAATTACCTAAAATAAAAGGAAATAACATAATAAGCAAATTAATAATAAATAACTTAAACTCGAAGCCTGTCGTATTTATTTAAAAAGACGATCGCGGTCTCGTCTCCATCATCCTCCCCCGGTTGGGAAGGATTCGCCCTCGAATCCGGACCGGTCTCGTCTCCGTCCGAGTTGTCGCCCGTGAAAGGGACGAGATGCTTGACGTTAAAAACGTCCGAAGTACGGATATGAGAAGGAAGTCGTAGGCGATAAGCATTGGGGTTGATCTTCTCAACCACTTCCACCGGCCCAATCTTCCGAGCAGACAACTTATTATACTCATGAGCCGGAAACCTATCCTTAGTCAGAACAGCCCAAACGAAATCGCCTACCTCGAACTCCACAAGTCGACGGCGAGTGTCCGCCCGGGACTTGTACGCAGCTGTCGTGACCTCCAACCGTGCCCGAGTCGCCGCATGTGTGGCCTGCAAGTCGGTAATGAGATCAGCGGCGCGACGATCCACGGAACACGAAGCAGGCAACGCTAACAAATCCGCCGGGCCGCGGGGCTGCACCGCGTACACTATCTGAAAGGGAGATAACCCGGTGGCGCGGCTGACGGCCGAGTTGTGTGCAAATTCGGCCTGACTTAGCCTCTGGTCCCAACTCTTAAGATTGTAGCCCAAAGCGGACAATATCTTACTAGGGTCTGCATCAGTTGGTATCAGAGCCAGCCCATGTGCCAGCGGTGACCGCTGGGCCCACAAGGGGGGTGGATGATGCAGTGCATCCCACATCGGGTTTGAAAGGAAACGAAGCAGGCTTCACTAGTAAGACGCGTTTTGGTGGGTGTGTATTGAAACCCAACCAAGAACAAAGCCGTGCAGGTGGCGGAAATAGCCCAAAACGGACAATATCTTACTAGGGTCTGCATCAATAACCACACGTCCTCCTCCTGCTATCAAAGTGACACACAATCATCATTATATTTTTTTTATATATAAAGGTGACCCCTCGGCCCCTCATTTTAGGACAAACTGAATAAGCTAAGCCAATCTAAACATATACACTAGCTCGCTCTATAGCTATCACCGTAACAATAACCACCTGCTAGTCATTTTCTTCGGAGAACCATTTCTCTTTGTGAATCTCCCAGTGGATCGACGAAATTCTGTGTTATTTTATTCCTTATCTTTTTATATCATACTTGATCTCATAAATGCACATCAAATACCTACATAATCAGCAATCATTATCCTTAATCTCATAATTAAAGAATTAATCTCATAATTAAAGAACGTTGGCGATCGCTCGTCAATAAAACCAAAATGAAAGAAAATCACTCTTGAATCATTTAACATAAATAAATGATAGGACTAATGCATTTATAAAATACATTAGGTCCTTATTTAGTTATTTAGCGTTTTTTTTTTTTTTTTCATTTAGGAATCATTTTTCCTATACTAGTATTAGACCCTGTGCATTTGCACAAATGTAAATAAAGTATTGTGACTTATTTATATGCATATAATGTAAATAAAGTATTGTGAGTTATTTATATGCATATAATGATTAATTATTTTTCTTTCATTTTTATCAGGCCAAATTTACAACTAAAAGAGTGGGAATTTTTTTTTTTTAAATTGTGTTTATCTAATTAGATGTAATGTATATTTGGGTACGTTTTTTTTTTGTGATTTATTTATTATTTATTTAGGAATTTCAAATAAGTTTTTTATGTTTGTAAAAAAATGAATTTAATGTAACCACAATAATAACATCTAATCACATTATACGGTCAATATATAACACGGTCAACTGTTAGTAATCAAAAATTTAAAATGATTTTTGTTGTTTTGAAGTGATTAGTATTGATTATTTAATAATTAAATGAAATATTAAATACATTAAAAGTAACAATTTTTGGAGGTAAATGGTTAATTGCCACGTAGGTAAAATTAAATAGGTTTTATTAAATGCTATTAGCTAGTAATTATATATATATAGATTTTTGTTGGAGTTGTAATATATTATTTTTAATATTTTTAATATTAGGACATCATTATTTTTCTTTTGAAAAAAAAAATATATAAATTAAGAACTCATTTGGTCCACAGTATATTTTGTTCAATGATATGCTTAATAAATTAATTAATTTACCTTACTAAATTTAATTGGCCAATAACATTCACCACCACATTCATAGCACGTACACTTTATTAGTATATGTTAAAACAGTTTTGCTATAGAGCCATCGGATGGCTTGGCTTATGGAGCAATCCATACTTAATCACCAATAGTGCATTGACACGTGTCCTACAATAAATACAATTTAGACAGGTGTCACTATATTAAGTGATGAATGGCTCCATAAAAAAACAATCCGATGGCTGTCTTCATCACAAATAGGTTTCCTCTTCTAAAATGTATAATTCTACTCCTGTCTCACTCTATGATACATTGGTTATGAGAAAAAAAAATATAATTATATGTTTAGTTACGAATAGTCAAACTAAAATAAGAAAATAAAGAAATCGAAAAAGTATATCATTCATTCGATCTCACATTCTTTTACTAACCCTTTAACACAATTGAGAAATAAAATAAGTAACTCTTATATATTTTTCAACAATAAAACTATACTAATTCACTCATACATTTTTAACTATTCGTCTTTATCAATTAATATTTTATTACTAACATATCTCATTGATTTTAATTTTTTTAAACGATACTCTTTTTTTCCAAATTTTTCATTTTATTTTTGGAACGACACAAGTTTTTAGAAGAAAAATAACTTATATCCAATGGCACTCATCTCGTTTATCTTAAGTAATTATAAATATTTTGAATATGATTTTTGTAATAGTAGATCGCATAAGTTACAGACTCACAAACCCAATAAATCAACACACAATTTAAGGCAAAGTTTCCTACAATTTAACCCAAGAGTGCTCGGATGAGATGGATTGGGTCTCTTCCAACTTAACCAGTGGTCTCATGTTCGAGCCCTGGGAATGCAGCAGTGTTAAAACTCTTGAGGGAGAGCTTTGCCGCCCTTGTGGTCCTACCCAACTCAATTCTGGATTAGTCGGTTCCCCTGTGGATCCAGAAACCGGAAGGTCCCTGTACCAAAAAAAAAAAAAAAAAAAA